TAACTCTATTGAAATTATTCAAAAATTCAACGCATCTTGAAGTAATGAAGGTAGGGAGGACGTATTTCATACTCTCATGTGGTTCTAAAAAAACTTGCATTTGTCTCTGTCCCAGATTTTTTACTAATACAGAATCGTCAGCAATTATCATATTAGTTTCGGGATCACGCCAAGTAAGTTCAAAATGATCGATGGAATTTAAATTTATTTTAAGGGCATTATAGAGAGATGTATCAGTATCAGCTATCGGTGCTCCAAGTTTCAATTGTAATGCTTTTAAATTTCAATCAATTTCTTCTTTCAAATAGTCAGGAGTACCTTCTTGTTCCATATTTAATCCTTTCACCACATCTAATCCTACAATATTTTTATATATAACTTCCGTCTACAGCAAATATAAAAAATAGATATGTGATCACAATTATTTTAAAACATACTATAAAGTGAATAACCCATTTTGTTTGCACATACATAATCAGATACTGTTTATTAGCCTTGTTAATTCTAAAAATTAAAAGTAATTCTATTTTGCATATTACACATAGTTTAGGAGGTAGCAGAAACCCTCGATATCATGAGAAAAAATTCTGACCATATCGCTCTTCCGGGTTGGCGTCCCTAACTTTTAGTAATAATACACAAAATAGACTTGACCATGCCAACTCTGCCGATAACATTTGCTATAAAATCATCACTATATATAGTCATTTCCATAGTTATAAAGCAAGTATATAATTTACAAACCTGTGTTAAGACCTCTAAGACTTTCATTCTTCGTTCAAAATCAGTTATCTTTCCCAATGAAACATTCACTGCACGCTCTGCAAAATCTTTAATATCATTTAATGGCAATATAGTTGTTCCTTTTCTCGCCAAATAAATAATTGTAGCAAAGCATATAGCTTCAAGGGATCCTTCTAAAAAAAGTGTTTCGATTTTTGAAATTAAGATTGACATATTGGAAATGAAAAATTTGATTATATATGAGTAATGGTAAATCAAAATTGTAAAAAGACGTAACTAAAGCTTCTATCAACATCACTATACTCTCCTTTTAACACGTCTCATTATTTCCTTTTTAGTATCTCGACTTATAGATTAAGAAAGAAGCCAGCATATGCATGAGAACAAAGAATACGTATATGTTCCATGGTAAGATACTCTCATGGAGTGAGGATGCCACTGCATCTGGATATAGGTAAAAAATCCACTATACTTTCCTTTTAGTGCTTTTTGTTATTTCTTTCATATTTCACCGAAGAATAGATTAGGAAAAAAGATATCGTATGCACAAGAACAAAGGATATGTATATATCTCGAGTCGATTATCCAAACCAGGTTATCGATATCCCTATATGTAAATGGTACAACATGATGTTTTAGTTCTGCGATAAATATAAATAGTGAAGCAGTAAAGCTAATAAAAGTATAAAAAGTGATATTATATATCTGCTTTTCACATAGATATGCAGGTATAAGGAGCATTAATTAAATTTGGTAATCGGTGTATCGCATGACCAGATTATGTATGCAGATTTCTATTATATTCGAATTCCTTCTATGATATATATCACATGATAGGTTAATTATTTTAGCGAAGAAATCAAGTTACACAAGTAATTACTTACTATAAACTGTAAATATTGCGAGAAAATTACGTGGTTCGTTGCCGACATCTGCTCATGTTAAAATCTCACAACTATTTACCAGTGCAATTCATGAATCAGTTTGGTGTTTATATCCAAAAATGAATTATATACCCAAAATAGATTCCCTTTTTATGTGACAATCACAGTTGGACCATTTGTTGATTTCATATGTTCTGTCAATCGTCATGAGTAGTTGTACATAACTAGTTAATATCTATACAAGCGATTCTATATAAATATTCGAACTCGAGATTCTTTACTTTTTTCAAAATTTCAACGAAGGCCCAATAATTTTTTTACAACAAATTTTAAGTGTCTTGACAATATTTCAAAGAAATGACTCTTCGAGTCTAGCTCCGCTATCATAACAAATATGTATCTTGTTTATAAGTCAACCTTACCAGTTTGAATTGATGAACTGGAAAATCGCATTGGTAATGCTGTGCACGAGCTATGCCTAATATAACCCACCTTCTCATGGCTAAGCCCACTCGAAGCCAAAAAAAGTAAATAGCATATACTTCTTTGCCGATAATGAACAAACGAAGTGTAGTGAATTGGCGGGATATCGACAAATAAAAGATAATTTTGAGTTGGGTCTGAGGAATAGAGCGTTTCTATCTGAGCTAGATTCTAAAGAGTCGAAAGATAATGAGCTAGAAAGATTAACAATGTTTTCAACAGTTCTGATGATATACATATGATATATATATATGATATATAACTAGAATCACTAAATATGAAGGGCTTCTATTGTAAAGGTGTATATCGAATCTATACTTTATTCAAGGAGAACCTAAATCAACAAAAATTGAATCCGATATATTCTAGAGTATAAGTTATTAAAATCAAATAGGTCTAAGTTCCTAAATACGATATAAATCACATAATCCCATATAATCAATAAATAAGTCATAAAATGAGTGATTTTAGCAGTTTAGTAGCCTATGAAGGTTCTAAGTGCTCAAACGAAGAATGGAATGAATATGTGAAGATGCCACAAATTCTGAAGGGTGAAACACCCAGTGAATGGATGAAACGGATTTGGAAACGTCTTACATATTTCAGAAAGAATGATCTATTACCTTATAATAGTAAAAAATATCTCGAAGCTAGGAAATTAATAAGACTTTGGAATAAATATCAAGGAAATTATGATAGCTATACGCCTGAAATTGGAATTGCTATCTGCTTCTCTTGTGATCGATTAATATATACCGGAGAACGAACTAAAAATATAGGTAATTATAACCATATAGGAATGGAGAGGTATTGGAGTTCTTTATGTACTAGTAATCAATACTGTAATGTAAATTATAAAGAATACTTGAAAATTAAGCAAAAATCTAATTCTGAATATAACGGAGCTAGTGTCTCGACACTTAATTTCGATATAGAGTATGCATTGCATCGATACAGATTGTGGATGCAGAATGCTATCAAAAAGGTCAAACGTGCAAGAGAGGTTGGAAAAAAGATCCAAGCATGTACAATTATACAGAGAAAATGGCTAGAGATCTTTTATAAACCCGAAGGCATGCGTGCTACAGAGCTTGCTCAACATTACCAATTATTATAGGCAGTTCGAGAAGAAATGCGTCAAGTTAACAATGTATAGCTTAATTTATTTGATTTAATCTATTTATTTATTAATGTATAACTTATTCAATGTATACCTGCCACCCAAATTCAAAATTCAAATGCCGAAATCCCAAATACTAGTAATTTGGGATTTTGGCATCCCAAATTCCAAATGATTTGGGATTTGGGCAACACGTATAATTCAATGTAATTTATCTATTTATTTAAAATAAAATCATCTGAGGGCTAGTACTTTAGACTTTTATTTCGTTATCCCCGAGAGCTGGTAACATTTTTTTGTTAAATTTATGCAATTCTAAACGTACAACATGTATTAGATCAAATTATAGTTTAACAATAAATAAAATATATAATTAACTTATCTTTTTTAACGAGGCAAGCATGACTAAAAAGTATTAACCAATCCATCATGCAAGTTCATAGAATCGCTTTCTTGATGCGCGCGTAAAGTTTTAGGTCCAGTAGGTGCGGTGCCATGAACTCCAGATTCATTAGATCCGAAGACAGTTTCTGTTGAATTTCCCAAAACCGTTGTATCATCGATATGACTTTGCCATTCAGGAAGAGGTGGCCCAAATATAGGTGAATTTTCATAAGTATGTTGTCAAAGAGTATCTGGGTTCGATCTTTCTGTTGAAATCTGTGGAGGGGCAGAACTATAAACGTGAATATTGTATCGATCAGCTCCAGCGGATTTAGGTAACGTCTGATTTAAGTGTCGTATGAATTCTTGTTTATGTAAGAAAGTTAGGTTTTTTTACGAAGGAGCGGATCTTTCTGAAGTAGCAAGATGTCTGATTGAATCAAAGAAACCTAGCCTTAATGTATGTCACATATCATCTCCAGTTCGAAGTGATCAAATTACCCTGGTGATATTTGCTAAATGTGCGTTAGGAAATGTATTAGTAATTAGACTACCCTGTACCACTTTTTCTAGATAGATAGCTGATAATACCCCTTTAGTCAGATGCGATTCTTGTGAAGAAGAAACTACGTCTCGATTTTGTTCTTCTTGCTGTTGCCAATAAAAAAATTCCAAATCATCTGGTAGAATTGGTCTCCGAAACGTTCTGGTATGGGATGTTATATCCTGCAATAATAAATATCTTTCCTGCTCTTCACGTTGCATCTCGCTTATTGGATAGGAGTCTGAAGTGAGAATTGGTCTTTGAAATATTCCAGTATGGGATGTTATATCTTGCAATAATAAATGTCTTTCCTGTTCTTCATGTTGCATCTCGCTTATTGGATAGGAGTCTGAAGTGGGAATTGGTCTTCGAAATGCTTCAGTGTGAGATGTTATATCCTGCAATGTTAAATGTCTCTCCTGCTCTTCACGTTGCATTTCACTCATTGGATAGGGATCTGAAATAAGGATTGGTCTCCGGAATGTTTCAGCATAGGAAGTTAGGTCTTGTAGTGATAGGTGTCTTTGTTGCTCTTCACGCTGTATTCCACTTATTGGATAAGGATTCGAAGAAGGGATAAGTTCTCTGCTATTGTTAGAAATAGATTCTTCAAAACCGAATGGCAAAACTAATCGTTGATCTCCCTTTTGCTCTTTAGAGTGTATAGCTGATATAGGCATAAGTGAAGCTCCTCCTGATTTAGTTAATTGAGAATTTTTATTTTGACCGAACTCAGTTTCAACTTGAAACATTTTCTTAGTGGCCAAAACCATATACATATCGAATAAAACGTGTCTCGACTCACTAGCATCTTGTTGGAGATTCCACGATTGATCAGACTTCTGCAACATTATGTTTCTGTCTTTTGAGGGGGTGATATGTAAACCAGTTGTATTGCCATATTGCTGAAGATTCCACGATTGATCTGCCTTCTGCAACATTATGTTTTTGTCTTTTGAGAGGGTGGTATGTAAACCAGTTGTATTACCATATTGCTGAAGATTCCACAATTGATCTACCTTCTGTAACATAATATTCCTATCTTTCAAAGGAGTAGTATACGAATTGGGCATCTTGCCATATTTTTGTACAGGCAATTCAGTGC